ACCAATAGGGTCCTCTGGAAATCTGCCCATGACCCCGCGCAGCACAGGGAAATGTGACGTACTGGGCTCTGAGTGTGACAAGTGCCTTACAGATATTTAGAGCTTGCTTTGTAAGGACTTCATGTGTACATCTAGCTGGCTTATGGGCTTTATGTTTAGCGCATTCAAATGTTTTGTAAACTAAAAATGCCAAATCTGCCAGCCAGACAGGATCCGACAGTTCTGGCATAGGTTGTCCCTTTTTAGCCAAGAATTATTTCTCTCCTGAGAGAGAAGAAGCGCTGCAGACCCCCGACAGAGCCACCTCACACAATGTTACGTTCCTGCAGTACCGCAGGATTCAGGACGGCATTTCTAGGACCCTAGGTTTTTGCGAGAGCACTTAGTTTAAAATGTATGGAAGCCCATTTCCGCCAGTAAAGAAAATCAAAAAAATCCCCAAAAAGTAATAAAAAAATGTATTAATAAAAGAGGAAAAGAGAGAAGAGAAATGATAACAAAAAGTCATAATTAAGAGACAGAAAGTCGAAATTATGAGATAAAAAGTCATATTATGAGATATTTAAACACAACAGATCTTTGAGTTCTATTCAATTTGACACAGAAATGGATTGAGAGAACATTGAAGACTACTTTAAATGTGGCTTTACAACAGATTAAATACTTCATTTGTTTGCTGTTTCTCATGGGATTGTATTAAGCAGCTGTGGCACAGAAAAAACAAAACTGATGTGGCTGTGGTGGCAACCTTCACTGAACAGCAACTGGAAACATCTGTTTAGTGTCATGGTTATAGAGGGATGCACCAAAAATATTGGAAATATTGGTTACATGGAATTATGAGTGACAGAGAAACAGTTTGAATATTGCTGCAGTTAGGTGACAGTGTTGATCTGAGGTCAAGAAAAAGACTGCAAAGGTGTGTTTACCACAGCTGTGGCCCAAACTGGCACACTCATGGCTACAACAAGCTAAAGCCATTTGGAACTGCAATCAGTGGATGCATTAATGGATTTCTCAGAAAAGATGATGGTTTGAAGCTTATAAAACAAACAATGACCCAAAGATCATTGCTGGCTACTTTCTGGATGCTGTGATCAATGCTGGTGGGTGTCCTGCCAGACTCCGACTTAATTTAGGAACAGAAAATGGTCAAATGGCTGAAATGCAATGTTGTTGTTTTTTTGCATTTTTTTCTGAGAACCAAGCTGAAACTGTTATGAGCTACATGCCTTTGGCGGGCCCAAGCACTGGAAATCAGCGGATTGAATGATGGTGGCTGATCTTGTCCAGTTTTGGATAGACCAATTTGACAAACTGAAAGGAGATGGCTACTTCTCAGACAGTCCCTGATCCAGTTTTGCTTTCTTCAAACAATACAGGTAACTGACACATTATAATAAAAATGATTGCTCAGTAATATCCTTAATTATTATATCCATAATTATGAGATAGAAAGTCAAAATTATGAAATAAAAAGTCATAATGATATTTTCTTTTTATGAAAGTTGATGAAATGAGGAGGAGAATAGTAATGCAACTGCACAAGGATGTGAAAAGACACATGACAGACCTGATATCTATCACCTCTCTCTAACCATCACTTCTGAAACAGACACTGCAGAGATAAATGCTACAGATGTTGTTTATGTTGGAAGCAGCACAGTCTTTGCAAATGCAAGCAGTGACAGTGTTTCCCTTCTTTACACCACTGAGGCATGTAGTTTTCCAGATCATGAAACATTGCTTCATGCGGATGCTTTAGAGGACAGTGGCGTTATAACTTTCCACACAGAAAGCATCTCTAGTATAGAGTACTGCAGTCTTGATGATATCTTGCCTCTCTGTTTTCAGAGAAAAGTATCATGAGGATGACATTTTCTTTAAAGTTATTCTTCCCAATGGAAAGCTTGAAAAGGCTCTGGATGATGGAGGTGTTTTGAGAGATGTACTGTGATGACTTTTATGAGCATTGCATTATGGGAAATGCCATACCTACGTCATGATTTTGGTAAAAAGAAGAATTGGAGAAGTACCTTCATGTGAAACTTGCTCTTGTACTTCTGGAGCGAGCTGTTTTGGGCTTTGTGGAGATTGATCTTGTGGACAGCTTTTGAAGTATGTGTCTGAGTCCGAGCGAGTGATCTCTAAATCTTCTTGTTCAGATTTTGAAGTAGTTGACCAAGAGGAATTGTTGGAAATCACGGATATTCACAACTGCTTTCAACAGCAGATAACATTGAGCAAATCTTGAGGGAGCTTGCTCACCAAAAACTGATTCCAGAGCACGCCTTTGTGATTGAGCAGTGGAGCAACACACTCGCACCTGTTAGATCAGAGCTGAAAGGGGTTGCAGCTGTCTGTGAAGAGCTACAACCAACAACGGGTACGATCGTGAAAAATCTATTACTTACCCCAGTACCCAGAGTGCCCAGGAGAAACAAATTGTCAAGTATGTAAGTGCATACCTTAGAGAGTCAGACACCCATCATCTGTCCTCATTCCTCAGAGTAAACAGCATCACTGTCAGTTTCACACAACTTCAGGGATTTCGGAGAAGACCTGTTGCTCATACATGTGGCTGTTACTTGGAGTTATCAGTCAGTTATGACAACTACCTATTTTTTCGACATGAAATGAACAAAGTCTTAAAAAGTAATGTTTGGACGTTGTTTAAGAGACTTCGTAGGTTTTCCAGATGTTTTGGCTTATGAAGGAAATACTACAGTTGCCTTATGTAACTGTCACAGCTTAAACATGTTATCACATTTGTCTGCTGATTTTTGCCACTTCTGTTTTGTTGAACATTGTTTTTAAGTGCTATTTTTCAATGCAGAGAACTTCCTGTGAATACCTCAGTTAAAGAAGTAATGTAAGACTAATGGCTTATATTGCTAGACTTCACCAACAACCTAAGTGTAAATGAGTTATTTCAACATACTGTTATGGTTGTTAACTGAATCACATGCAGTCCTAATGTTTAAGGTAATTTGAGCTATAAGAGAAAATGGAGGAACCTGTCTGTGTTGTATTTGATACATTTACAACTTCTGTTTGTTGAAACTTGAAAGCATTTGCTATTTATCTAACCTCCATAACACACACACACACACTCACACACACATTTTATTTTAAATATTTGTAATAATATTGGTATTTGATTACCTGTTACATTCACATAACTATTACAAATGCATTGTATTTGTTATACTAGTTTGAAAACATTACTAAAGCAAGTAAACCATTCATTATTAACAAAAACAATATTTCAGTAATTTTCTTACTGAAGCTACCTTCAGTAAAGCACTTCAGTCCCACAATACTTTTATTTAAAATATCTAGTTCATAACAAAAAGAGGACATGTCAAATAAAAGTACAGTACAGTACATCTTGTCACAGGGTACATATTCTTTTTTCCTTTTACATTGCAAACAACTATTTGACTACCTCTATTCAGGTGCTGTTATTGTTTTTTTTTTTTTTTACCATTCTATAAGCCTATAAATGGGATGCTGTGGATGTTTAAATATTTGAATAAATAATTCAGTTAATTAATGTGTGGATTTTGATTTTTTACTTAGTCAATGTTAGGACAGCATAGTCATTTGTGTGTACATATATTTTGTTCAAAATAACTGAACATATTTGATACTTCTTTTATGTGTTTAAATTGTTACAATACAAAATTTGCATTCATCACAGGTTAAAACATAATTTTGTAAATTGCAATCAGTATATGAGTTTCAACAACAACAAAAAAGCATTTCAGAAATATAACATGTGACACAGGCCAAGGGACATTAATGATAGATCTAGTTCATTGTTTATCAGTTGTTTGTGTTCAATATAGGTATATCATTTATCATATCATTTGTTAATGTCAGATTATGCTGACATTAGGTCACATTCTTAAAGGCAGACTTGAACCTTCACCAGGTCCACATGGTGCAAACAATCTCTGCCTCCATACAGATGAGGGACTGCATGCAACATGGAGGGACGTCCATGAGGTGATCATGAGTTGCGGACTTGGTGGACTAATATTAAGTTAGATTGTATAAAAATATTGGGCACTCATTTGTGCCTCTCTTAAAAATATTGCTGAGCAATCCTTTATATTATAATGTGTCAGTTACCTGCATTGTTTGAAGAATGCAAAACTGGATCAAGGAGTTTTCCGAGAAGCTGTCTGAGAAGTAGCCATCTCCTTTCAATAGGTCTATCCAAAACTGGACAAAATCAGCCATTGTTGTTCAATCTGCTGATTTCCAGCACTTGGGCCAAAGGTAATAAAAATCATAATTTCTTAAATACGTTTTATCTCATAATCATGACATAACTCTTTTATCAAACCTATGTTTTCATTTCATTCATTTTATTAAAAAAATGTACGGGCGGAATTGGGCTTCCATAGGACTTAAATAAATCCATTGCTCTTGTCTGGCCTTTGAGACTGTCGAGGTCAAGCAGGTCTTCTGTAACGTTTATGTCATCATCAACTCCTCCCAAAGAAATGAGTGACTGGGCAGTGTCAGATCTATCTGTGTATCACTCTTATCTCTTAATGTCTGAAGCAGTGATGGGAATTCCAGGTTCTTTGTAGTGAGCCAGATCATTTGGCTCAGCTCACCAAGAAAAGCCAGCTCTTTCATCTCCCAAACCGCTCTTTTTTTTTTTTACCACTTATACCTTTTATAATTCAGCCAAATTTAGCACTGTTTTGTATTGTATGTGTACACATATATCACTTAAATTATTCAATACATCCTTTGTACTGAAGTTTTCAAATAATACATCAATAAGTTGTTTTCATTCTATTTAGAGACCCTTGTAACTCTCTGAAACCACCCAATGAATGTACTAACTTGTAGAATCACTCTGCTAAACAAAGCAGAAAGAAACACCTAAGCATAGAAATAAAAAAAAGGACAGCTATTAACATTTTTAGTTTTTATTTAAGCACAGATCCCTAACAAAACAAGTAAAGTACTGAACGTAAGTACGGTATATGAAATACAGGACTCAAGTAAATGTGCATTGTTAATGCCCACCACTGACATCTGGACAAATAAAACCAACTGCATGCATGGAGCACCAATAGCATGAAGATCATCAGATCAATCTGCCTTGTATTACTTTACAAAAACAAACGGCTTGCGGATAGTTCACTTAAAAGGGTTTTGTTCGCGACCGACTCGACATCACTAGTCTCAACTGTCCGGGCCACTGTATTACGAGCCAGACAAACATTTGCTTTACATCAAACTCTTCTTTTCAGGTGGTAGGAGCCACAGCCCCCCCCCTACGTATCCGACGCATCTGCCCGTCTCAGGCGACTGTAAGGCAGCAGTTACGCAAAAACGAAACCAAAAGTTTATTCCTTGCTCATGGTTTCGTTTTGAAATAAGACACCCTGGCTGCAGAGAGATGCAGTCTACGACAACAGTAGTTGGTGAGTGCTTATATTAATTCTCAATATAATTTTAAACGAATATGGAACAGCACCGTTTAGTTCAGCCTAAAACCTGTTAGAGTTTGGCTGCACACTAAAGACCCAGCACATAGCGACGCTCGTTACCTGAAATGACCTCGGCGCTCGTTATTTTCAGAGCAGGTTAAATGAAATGAGGAGAAAACGCACATTTCCTGCCCTTCCTGTGACAATATATCTACCCTGAAGACAACAGGAGCCTAACGGCCGTCCTATACTACAGTAATAGTATAATAATATAATAGTATAAGTATAAACCAGACGCACGAGCTAACTACATTAAACAACACGCATTAAATAGTGCTGCGTAAACGCACGCGCCCCTTGACTGACGTAGGACACAATAGAATAGTCACGGATATCGATACAATGCCAATACTCAGACATGAACAGAAGAATTCATCAATAGTGATAGTTAATAGTCATTAATTGAGCAAGATATAAAATGAAAGTACATCCGTCTATTCACTGGTGGAAGGAGGCGAAATGTAAGTTATTAATGAGTAAGAAATGAGCAACTTTGGATGAATAAAAGAGGAGCACAGTGTGTAGCTCCTGCATATGAAATGGCCTATCTATCTATCCACTTTGCAAGCCGTGGCTGTGTGTGTGCTGATGGGGATGTTATTGGTCATCAGGCTCCTAGGTATGAGTATGTGAAAAATAAGAATCGGAGCTGTCTCCCAATTGGTTTGAAAAGACGTTACCAATTTTAGTTGCAATTTCTTCCTCACTTAAAGCTGTCTTTGAGGTGTGAGATTGTATCTACACACGTGTGCTTGCGTTCATATTTGCTTGTTTGTGTACTAGCTGATGGAGTCTGACCATGGATGAGGAGCTTGACCCTGATGGTGACAATGTGAACTCCGTCTTGACTCAGGAATCCTCAGAACTGCTCACCATCCTTAGCGGTCAGTCCCCTGCAGTCATCATGAGCTTGTACCAAATGATGCCCGGTGGCGCCAGGTGGGACATTAACACAAACAGAACAGAACACATCAAAGCCATGTTGGAGTACTTCATGCTGGCCAGCGCTGCAGATTGCCGCGACTTCCTTCAGAGCATGTGTATGTTGTGTGAGAACATCCCCATGCACCTGGAGTCGAAGCTCATTTCCCTGGCTGGATATGCAAACAGTGAGTATAAAATTATGTTAAACATGTTGACAAGGTATTCTAGCCCTTGTTCATACTGCCGTCATCAACAGTCCAAACCTTACTCACTGGTCAGGTAACCACACAACAAGAATGGTCATATAAAGAAGTCATTAAAGTTAGTGTTTAGATTCATACAGATACACATACACATATCTCAAGGTTTAGGATAAAACATAACTTAGTATGTCTATACAAAGCAGGAGTTGTGTTAAATATAATGTCATGGTTATGTGCTGTAAAGGGTGAAGAAGTATGGGTTAGCACATGGGGAGCATTCTGTTGTTTTCCAACCTCACAGTGAACAGTGCTGTAGCAGTTTTCTGCCTTAAGTAATTATTCACCAGTAGCGCTGAAACAGTAGCTTTTGAGCACTGTACTATAACTCTTAATACATCCTGCTGTAAAAATTTGCCTGAATTTCCTGTATAATAGAATAGAACTGTACAGAACTTTTATTTGTTTTGATATCGGCATTATATATCGGCCATTCCTCTTATTATTTATCTATAGTTACATGTCCCTTGCCTTGAAGCCATAGATGATCTGTATTTGTTCTGTTCTGTATGGAATAATATTATGAATAATAATAAGTAATACTTACTTGCTCATACTAGTCTAATTTATCGCTGTGCTGGCCTGGCTAACAGTATGACTTTTCTGTTTGACTATTTAGCTGATGTTATACACTCTCCAACTGCAGCACCAGTGCCCCTGAGAACCACAGGTAGTTAATGTTTGTCTCTTAATGTCTGTCCGTGCGTGTGTGTGTGTCAGGAGGACTATACATTTTGTTTGTCTGGCTGCACTGGCCTGCATAAATACACATTCAGTCTGCAGGTGTTTTACATGTACAAAAAATGGCTAATATTTCTTAAGTTTTCTTTTCCACCACACTCACTGTGTGCTGATCTGTGTATTTGCATATTGAACACACCCAAAGCAGACAATGAAATACAGTGTAAGGCAAGTGATCCGGTGGTTTTCTTTTGGGTGAAAGGTGTTTCTTTACTTGGGATTAATATCATTATCTTCATTTGCTTTATAGTAAAGCACCCCTCAGTAGTCATAGCCTCACTGACAAACTAAAGTGCAAATGAAAGTCAGAGAGGCAGCAGGTTGTCCAACAACGATCAGCATATATTTGGTGAATCTTATGACTTTTCTCTTTCGTTTCACCTCGGGAATCCCCGAAAACTCTAGCTAATTTAGAAACTGAAAGTAAGGGCCCTATAATAATACGCAACATTAGCAGTGCTGTTGATAGCCTATCCAGTGTTTTTTACGTACTGTATATTCTCTGTGTGTTTTTCTGCACTGTAGATGGTAGTGAAAATCCCAGTCCCACTGTAACGGATGTGAAGTCGCCCTCGCCGCCCTCAGATTGGCAGCTCAGCAAAAGGCCACGGATTGGTAGACCATACACACAACACTTGTCCTTTGTTACATTGCAGCTGCATTAGCATGCACAAACCAACCTGGCAACTGGCCATTTACTGGTTAACATCCATGAATTTATTGCTGGCAATTTGTCCTGCTGCCACTTGCAGGACAAATTGGAACGAAAAATCTCTACAACTGAAAGGGGAGCATGGTAGCTCACCTGATAAAGCAAGTCCTTATTGCAGCAGCCCAAGTTCAGTTCCAACCTGCGGCCCTTTGC